TAACTAGATTCTTAAAGTTTGAGAACAAACTTTGAGGCTGGCTTGTGAAAGCCTGACGGTAATTGTTTATTTAGTTTAAACAGTTTTAAAAAGTATGAAAAGATAGATAGATAGATAGATTAGCATGTTATTAGCATGATTCTAGCGTGAAATAGCATGTTGTTAGCATGATTCTAGCATGAATTAGCATTTTACTAGCATCATTTTAGCATGAATTAGAATGTTGTTAACATGAATTAGCATGTTACTAGCATGATTTTAGCATGAATTAGCATGTTGTTAGCATGATTCTAGCATGAATTAGCATGTTTTAGCACGATTCCATTATGAATTAGCATGTTACTAGCATGATTTTAGCATGAATTAGCACAATTCTAGCATGAATTAACATGTTGTTAGCATGATTCTAGCATGAATTAGCATGTTGTTAGCATGATTCTAGCATGAATTAGCATGTTACTAGCATGATTCTAGCATGAATTAGCATGTTACTAGCATGATTCTAGCATGAATTAGCATGTTGTTAGCATGATTCTAGCATGAATTAGCATGTTACTAGCATGATTCTAGCATGAATTAGCATGTTGTTAGCATGATTCTAGCATGAATTAGCATGTTACTAGCATGATTCTAGCATGAATTAGCATGTTGCTAGCATGATTTTAGCATGAATTAGCATGATTCTAGCATGAATTAGCATGTTGTTAGCATGATTCTAGCATGAATTAGCATGTTGTTAGCATGATTCTAGCATGAATTAGCATGTGACTAGCATGATTCTAGCATGAATTAGCATGTGACTAGCATGATTCTAGCATGAATTAGCATGTTGTTAGCATGATTCTAGCATGAATTAGCATGTGACTAGCATGATTCTAGCATGAATTAGCATGTGACTAGCATGATTCTAGCATGAATTAGCATGTTGTTAGCGTGATGGATAGATAGATAGATAGATGGATGGATGGATGGATGGATGGATGGATGGATGGATGGATGGA